AAAAGGTGTACAAAAATCTACCATTTACTTAGGATTATGAATGTATGACATATTTAAGTGATTGTAAAGTATGTTTATAAATTTATAGATTATATAACTAATGGAATTCATTGTTTAAAAAGGAGATAATGTAATGATGTGTAGAATAAGATTTGGTTTTTTATCAGATACTTAAGGTAATTAATGTGAATATCATCAAAATTAATGTAAGATCAAGAGTTACGACACTGCTCTAAATTAATTTTCATATTATCAAAATGGATCTGAAACATTTAATGGTTATACTTTTGAAATTAATTGTTATTCAATAAATTAATAAGATTGTATATGGGATGAAAATAACTGTGAATAAAAATAATTTTATCACACTCAAAATCATTATAGTAATACAGATTTTTCACCTATTTGGAAAATATATAGGAAAATTAAATTAAGGATATTAAGTTACACATTAATCGTGTGATGATACATTATAATTACATTTATGTAACAATCTTAGGTTTTTTTCGGTCCTTGCATTCTTGAATCTTCTGGAATTAGATATACAAAATACCATCTTATTGTACGAATGATAAGTAAATAAAATTAAATTAGATCTAATACATTAGCTTTTTTATATTCTCCAAATAATAATATGTATATTAATCTTTAAGAATGTTCTATGTGTAATCCTAAATGCAAAGTTATTTTCTCCTTTAGTGTTGAAGGAAGTGAATCAAGCCGATATGAGTTTTACAGGCATTGGAATTATAAAATAACTATTAATAGTTAAATTTATTATTGGGATAATAAACTACAAATGTGTATGAATGAGGATGAAGATAACAATGGACTGGCTGATTTTGATAAGACGTTCTATGGGGATCTATAATTAAATTTAAAGATTTGAAAATCACTCACCAGGATTGTGAAGAACTCATGCCTAATTGCACATTAAATAATATTTTTTGATACTGTTCAAATCTTTCAAATTATTGCGATTATCAATATAATTAATAATGCTAAATTACTAGTTGTTAATAATCTTGCAAATGGGATGATCTTAATTAAATATGAAAAATGTAGTTTGAACTGACATTCTACTGTTTTAAAAGAGGTTGATTTTAAAAATTCAAATAATAAAAAGAATGTCAAATGAAAAGTAAGTCTAATGAAGCTTTTAGACCTGTGTTTGAGAATAGACCTACTACCTGCAGTAGGATTTCAATTAAATTTATTTATCTAATCTCTACAAATACTTTTATATGTAAATTAACTCTAAATAATTATGACGAAAGATGCTATTATTATAATTCTATTTGTTTGTATGTATCATATTATATTTTTAGCACTACTCAAATATGAGATATTTATTGAAAGTAAAAGTGATGAGTTCTGCCAATTATATAATACCTTATATATTCTTTAATCAAGTGGGTAAGGATGTTATTCAATATAAATGATATTATATTCTCCTCCACCACTAAATTAATTTTTTACTTCATAATATACATTTATTTTCCATCAAAAATATACCTCCATAAGCCTTATCTTTGGTCATTCACATATTCCCCTAATAAATATACTTAATTTTTGCTAATAAAGAATTTGATATATAATTACTTCCAATAATTCTAAATTGTTTCTTTCCTTATTCCTTATTTTTTTACCATCTGTTGTTTATAATTTATTTAAGTAATAGATTTTAATATACATATGCTATCCATAATCAACTGCTAAATTTTCACCCTTCCAGATTACTTTCCAATTATAGACCTTTAATTTTTTTTTCAATATTCACAAATTCTTTGCAGATGTTTAACCTATTTAAAATTTTTAATTAGCTCATGTTTCTAATAAGTGCTTTAAATATTTTCTCTGAAATTTATAAATAAGGAAATCAAAAAATTCTCAATAATTTTAATTTTATTTTAGATTCTATTCATTTGTATGAGAAATTAATAATTTAGTTCTTATTTTTCTATTTAGATTATTCGAATAATCCCAATCAAATCCATCAATTTCTAAACTATTTTCTTTTTTGTTTTGTTTTTTTATGAAGATTAATTGAGATTATCAAAATAATTCATATATATCTAAATAGCAAATTAGATTTTGATTATGTATATGTGGGGTTCTAGAGCTAATTATTCAACCAGTTTATTGCCAAAATTAAGTTACTCATATACAATTGATATCTACAATCTTCAAAAATAAATTTGAATGATATATATATTAAAATAAAAGATACTCAACAAGATAAATAAAGGTTTTTATAAAATGATTGTCATATAAAATAATTTTTCTTTCAAATCATGCTTCTATGAGCATAGAAAGCTGAAATTTTTATAATATTTAGATCATTAGTTGTTCCACCATGTAAAAGCACAATTTTTAATGATTATACAATTTAATCTTAAAATGAAATTTTTACAATCCCAATCAAATTTAATCCTTAAAATAATTCTGTTTCTTGATTGTATTAATCAAAAGCAATAATTTTAAAACAATGATTTCTACCATCAATATCATAAAACCATACGATTATTTGATTAATCTCATAAGCTTATGAAAATTAAATATCAATTGAAGTTGAGTTTGGGATTGAGGTTGAGGTTCCAAAATGCCCTTATCTATTCCAAACATAATATAATTAATATCTAAATGGACTTATATTCAAAGAAGAACCAACAAATCTATAATTTCTTGCATTTTTTACTAATGCTCCATTAAATTCAGCAGCTA